TGTCGAAATTAAAGTGATTATGATACATATTATAAGCCAACCTAATTATATAAGATTTCTAAGATCAAAGAGACATCCTTTCATATCACAAATTGAGTGTTTTTATTGACTTTTAACTTATCTCCTTGTTAATGTATGGACCTTCATGAAATGCTCACATTGCTATCTTAATAACTTAGATACATACTGAATCATATTTTATGTCTTTATAAAAAATGGCCCTACATTATTTGTAAACTAAATCCATACTTTGCTAGTATGATGTAAAGACCCTTAAAGACTTGTCTCTTTTTTATCTTACCAATATTACTACAGTATGGTTTGTAAATAACCCAAACAGCAGTCGTTTTTGACATATTGCATCTCATTTTTAAATTATAAAGCAATTTTATTTAATTTTTAATTTACCATCTCTACCATTTTTAAGTGTGCCGTTCAGTGGTAATAAATACATTTATATCCTTTTTTCCCCCTTTATTGCCACTCTCTCCTCTCCTGCCTAGGCTCTAGTAACCTACAATCTGCTCTGTATAAATATGTGGTCTATTTTTTTAGTTTCCACATGAGTGAAAACAGGTGTTATTTGTCTTTCTGTACTTGGCTTATTTCACTTATACATAGTGGCCTCCAGTTCCATCCATATTGCTGCAACTGACAGGATTTCATTATTTTTATGGATAAATAATATTTCATTGTGTATATAGACATATTTACATTTCTATAAATCAACCATGTGACTTCAAAACTCCATCTATGTCTTCACCTTGCTTAATGTGCTTAGAATTTTGTTTCTCATCTGAGTTTGTTTCTCTGGATAAGACCTATTCCTCAAGAATGGAAAAACAAGCACCACATGTGTTCACCATCAAATTGGTACAAAATTGATCAACACTTATATGCACATATGGTAGTAACATTAATTGAGTGTGAGCAGGTGGGCAGGGAGAGGAAGGGATGGGTATGTTCACACCTAATGGATGTGGTGCGCATGGGGAATGGGCACACTTGTAGCTCTGACTTGGGTGGGGCAAAAGCATCTATGTAACCTAAACTTTTGTACCCCCATACTATTACAAAGTAATAAATAAATAAATAAACGTTTATGTATTTTTGAGTGAAAAAAATACCTATTCCTCTTTGATAGAATTTCCTTACATAGAAACTCTCTCTTCTTCCACTCGAAATTAAAAAGACCTGATATTCATCCTTTGGTTCCTCATAATTGTTTTAAAGAACAAAAAACTCTTCACAAATTTCTCTCTCTACAGGTATATCTTTAATATTAGGCCTTGAATTCCAAGAACATTTCTTGCTCAGATCTGTAATCTCATCACCAAAAAAATATATCTGTCACATAGATGATGTTCAACAAATGTTTATTGAATAAATGAATGAACAGATGGATTGAGATAGTCATCTAGAACCTGCTTTGACTACTCAATTGACAAACTATAATAACATCGAGATGTACTTTCATTTTGGTTTGCCTTAATTTTGATACATCCTGTAGGGCAACTTCCTGGATATACAGCATCTTATGCCTCAGTCCACAACACTTAAAACAAAATCATCGCTTTTCCCCCTGAAGCTAAAAAGTACCCTCATATATTTTTCCACAAATATACAGGATTGGCTTTCATGCACCCCCCCCCACACTAAGAAAGCCATTGATATGAACACACTTAATATTTTTCAACAAATGAAAATGTAATTATGCAGCCAACATTGCAATACACAATGCTGAAATTTGAGCTTGCTGATCAAACTTCCAGGGAAATTGTCACTTTAATGTATTTTACATCCTACTGTGTATGCTATAAATACCCTAAGCGTATTTAAATAACTCTTCCCCAACCTCCATCATTTTCTTCCTTATGCTCATGTAATGCCATAGGGAGTATTTTTCTAGAAGCACAAAATCAATGAGCATCTACAGAGAAGTAGTTTATAATCATAGTAGATATTTGAGATGTAGGTCATTAGAATTTAAGTGAGATGCTTGACCATGAATGATAATATTATCAGGAGATTAAGGGAAAAATTATCATAAATTCTTAAGTTATCCTCCAGTAGCTTAACTAATTGATTGGTGAAAATCATTACACTCAAGATACTATATGAATATCTTGGGCATCTGTTTGCTTGAATTTATATCCTTAGATGCAGAAAGTCTGTGCTTTCCAGCTTGCTAACCTTGGGAGCTTAGTTTTAGAGGCCTTTTAGGAACCAGTGGAATGTTCTTCTCACAAATAGCCAGTTTGAGGTCAAGAGGACTCCACTATTCTTCTTTGACATTCTTTTCATGACAATAATCTAGTCTTCTATTTGTTTTTCATAACCTACTTAATTAATCATGTGATGTATTTTCCAGCACAATTATACCTTTCTTTATCTATGACTCAAACAAGCAGAGAAGCTTGTGTTTACAGAATTTGTGCAATATCACTTCAGGGAAAAAATAGTAGATAACAAAAATATTAAACATAAATTAAAAAAATAATCCCAACAAAGTCCCTAGTTAGATTTGCTTATGCATGTAGGTGAAATGAGAATACTAGATAATAAATTGGAGATTTAAAAGAGAAATGGAGTAGAATTAGAAACAAGAAGTCAACGTCTCCAGCTTTATTTGTTGCTGTTTATCATTTTGTTTAGACCAAGTAGAGTTTGCCTTATGAATCTGAGTGCACCTAAGTTGGGTGTATACATATTTAGAATTGTTATGTCTTCTTGTTGAACTATACCCTTCACCATTATATAGTGACCCTCTTTGTCTTTCATTACTTTCGCTGATTTAAAGACTGAGTTATCTGAAATCAAAACCTCCACACCAGCCTTCTTTTGGCTTCCATTTGCTTGAAAAATTGTTTTCCACCCCTTCACATTGAGTCTAAATGCATCCTTGCAGAAGTATTATTCAGCTATAAAAAACAATGGTGATATAGCACCTCTTGTATTTTCCTAGATAGAGCTGGAACTCATTCTACTAAGTGAAGTATCCCAAGAATGGAAACATAGCACCACATGTACTCACCAGCAAATTGTTTTTAAATGATCAACACCTAAGTGCACATATAAGAATAACATTCATTGGGTGTTGGGCAGGTGGGAGTGGGGAGGAGGGGATGGGTATATACGTACATAATGAGTGCAATGTGCACCATCTGGGGGATGGACATGCTTGAAGCTCTGACTCAGGGGGAGGGGTGGCAAGAGCAATATACATAACTTAAACATCTGTACACCCATAATATAGTGAAATAAAAAAAATAAGAAGTCAATAAGATATTTGAAACATTTTTATTTGATCCCAAAAGACACGTGGGGTGAGAAAACTAACGGAGCTCAGCAGTACATCTTGCTTGTTGTGGGAACTGGCAACTGTAAATGCAAATCTATTAATTTTACTAGGCAGCATTATTTCTTAGTTAATAGTATTGGTTTTTAAAATGTACAGACTTAGATTTCTGTTCAAGCATGACATTTGCTCTGAGAATCTGAGAAATTTACCATACATCTCTGACTTACAAGTCCCTCACTTATAAAATGCAGATATTGTTACCTGCTTTTAAATATAAATAATATTCTAGTATTTCAATGGAAAAATATAACACTGAGTATAAATTTCATATCATAATGCCCAAAGCATAATAGATAAAAGAAACTACTTAGAGTTTAACAAATATGTTGTGAAATCCAAATATGTTCAAGACAAATCAACTTAGTGTTTAAACATTTAGCATAGTACCAGTAGGCATAAATAATTGTATTTTCTATATCTTCTCCTCCCTTCCTAACAATGAAAATAATATAGAAAAGTCCATTTATAGCTTTCTTGTCCTTTGATGCACAAGTCTATGTGTGTGTGTGTGTGTGTGTATTTCTATAAAAAATAGAAAATTTAAGCATGAAGGAAGCTTAAAAAATGTTGCAAATGTTCAAGAGAGCACCTCAAATTTCTCAAAGTTAATTTTTTCATATTTCACCAACTATAAATTAGGTCATTATTCACATTCTCATGGCATTGTGCTAGGCTTTTAAGAAGGATATATTGTGAAAATGTTCACTAGTATTAAAGGAATTAAGGTATAGTCTAGAGTAAATTCATAGATAATTACATTTGGTGTGATGATGAAAACCCTTTTAATATGTTTCTTTGAAAATATTCTCCTTTATCTTCTATTGGTTCTTTTCAGTTTTTTTGTTTCTTATTCATTTATAGCCTAAGTATAGAACTTTTCTATCATTTTCTCCTTAAGCAATGTCTCTGTTGATACTAGGATGCTCCATTGATGATTTGGGCTTAAACACTCCAATATAGAGGAAAAAAATCAGCTTTTAAATCATCAAGATTATCCTCATTTAATTTTGTTTATTATTTTTTAAGTTCAGTATTATCCACTCATTCAATAGATATGTATTAATACTGTATGTCTATTCTATACAATAGACTTTGTGAGATATCAGTGAATCAGAAAATGTATGATTTTACAGATAATATTTTAACTTAAGAAATAGGTGCTGACAAAAACAGATATGATACAGTAGCTTCATGCTATCATTGTAAGTATTTGCAGATTGCGGTGGGAGTGTTTTACATTTCAACAGAATCTCAGACTAATTATAAAATGTTTAGTGACTTACTACCCCTGCCTCCTAGCTCTACATAGGAAAAGTCAATCCAGATAAACCTTAAAATATATTTCTCTTTTCTCACTTATCTTTATGTATCCTTAAGTTAAGCTAGAATGCATGAAAATAGGATATCTGGAAGAACTGAAAATATCATTATTTTATAGTATTGTTTCAAAATTTTTAAGTGCCTTAGGAAAATATACTGCAACCTTTGATAGACACTATCATTTTAAATGTCTTTGAGGTATTTTTATAGATTTTATTCATTCTTATTTCTTACTGAAACTGACTTTTCAAGAGAGAGAGAATGTGTGTGTGTGTGTGTGTGTGTGTGTGTGTTCTTCAGAAACACCCAATATTTAGCATTATTCTTCATTTTTACAGCATGTGCTAATTGGGGAGAATAGCAAAATCAGTCGGTCTTGAATTTGTTTGGTCTTCACCCCATAAATGATTGGGTTGAGCATAGGGGGCACCACCACATAGAGGTTGGCCACTAGGATGTGGATGTGAGAAGGGATGGTCTTACCTCCAAAGCGATGGGCAAAAAATGAAAAGAATGCTGGAGTATAGAACATAAATATGACACAGATATGGGAGGTGCATGTGTTAAGAGCCTTGAATCTGGCTGTCCAGGAAGGTATCTGGAAGACTGTGCAAAGGATCATTGTGTAGGACATAATGATGAACACCAAATCCATCCCTGTGGAGAGTAGGGCCATAGTCAAGCCATAAATGATATTGACTTTGATATTATCACATGCTAATCTGGCAATGCCCATATGCTCACAGTAGGAATGGGGAATGATGTTTTTCTCACAATATGTAAGTCGGTATACCAGGAAGATGAATGGACAGCAGATGAAAAAGCTCCTGACCACAGCTGCTACACCAATCTTCCCAATGACCAAGGAGGTTAGAATGGTGGTGTATCTCAGTGGGTAACAGATGGCCACATAGCGGTCAAATGCCATGGCCAGGAGAATAGCAGATTCTGCCACAAAGATGAAATGTATGAAGAACATCTGAGACACACAGCTCCCAAAGGCTATATCCGTGGAATGGAACCAGAAGATGGCCAGCATCTTGGGGACTGTGGCTGTGGAGAGCAGGAGGTCTGCTGAGGCCAACATGGACAGGAAGAAATACATGGGCTCATGGAGACTGCGCTCAGTTATGATCAGGAAGATCAAGAAGATATTGCCTACCATGGCCACAATGTACATAGCACAGATAGGGATGGAAATCCAAGTGTGCAAATATTCCAATCCTGGGATTCCAATCAGTACATACCACATATCCTGCGGATTAGTGTGATTATAAAAGGAAGGAACCATCGGAGCAGTATATTCCAGGCCTACTACCAGTAATGAAAGACCACAGGTTGAGAATTTAGGAGCACTATCTTAAGCTGAATGAGGTCTTATCAGATTTTTTCTTTCCAATATTTTTGTCTCTGTGAAAGGATAGTAAGATGGATTAACTAACCTAAGATTTCACTCTTTCTATTGCATAATTAGTTCTTGCATCTTGAAAAAAATAATAGCTGTCATTTAATAACTGCTTAATACATGTCATCATAGTACTTATAAATGTGAACTTATTATACTTTCACTATAGATTACTGAAAAACCTTTTACAATAACCCATGATATAAATACTATTATTCCTAAAGATGAAAAAAAATTTCACGAACTTTCAGCTTCTTACCCAAGGTCACACTGGATTCAAAGCAAAGCAAGGTAAACCTGAAAGCTCTGACCTTAGCATTTCCTATCAAAATAAAACTAAATACAAAAACACAGCATCCAATTTTTCACCAATCATATCCATGAGGAAAATAGAGAGATATGAAATTGAGTTGTATTGCTTATGGAAGAAGGAGGGAATGAAGCTTGACAAAACAGATTTCAAGCAATATAGCACATATGAACTCTTCCACCTGATTGACCTCTGACTTGATGTTAAGCCATATGCTAGCCATTAAGGATACACAGGTGAATTAAATTGACCCCTGTCTGCCAATCAATCCATTCTTCAAAACTGTAGAATGTGGCATTAAAAATCTATTTGCAATGCTAAACTGAGCTGTGTTCTTAATTGTATATGCCTAGTATATGATGAATAAAAATTATTCTATTCCATTTCTGAGATCACTGATTTAAAATTAGAAAATACACTTTTTATTATGTGTATACATTTATGAGATACAAATGTAATTTTGTTATATGGATATATTGCATAGTGGTGAAGTCGGGATTTTTAGCGTGTCCATCACTCAAATCATGTACATGGGAGGGGCGAATGATGATAAAATATACTTTGTATTTCCAAGTACCACCACAGCAGCAAGTAATACTTTCACATAAAGCAGGAGTGCATAGTCCTTCAGTAAAAGGTGGGGGAAACAATTTACTGATTACTGGTTCCAAAAAATGTGGGTAGGAGTGAGGGTAATGTTAGGTGAAAAGGCAGGTTAGGAGATATAACACTAAGGTAGGCAATAGATAGGTAAATAGACAGATAGATGCGTAAATAGGTAGTTAGAAGTATGGATAATGACATAGATACAAATTATTTGAATAAGTGGCTCCCACCCCCCCAGTCCTCTTTCTTAAATAAAAAACTGGCTGAAGTTCTTAATTTTTCATGCTTAAGCAATGACCGCCTCTCCATTTCTTGACTCCATTGTAGTTCAATATACTGACTATTGTATAGTATATTTTGCTACTTTTACTTGTAGTTATTTTTTTAAGTGTTAAATATCCAGATCTTACATTTTATATGATTAAAATGTTTGAACCTCATTTTTGAGTTATATTTATGGCATGTAATATCTACAAGGTCAATTTGTCCTTGCCTTGAGTTGGCATGAGATTATTTAAAACTATTTTAATAAAATGTTAAAATATGTAAGTCTATGGGTTTACTTTATTGACATAAATCAATAAATTTGACATGTAGCCAACATTGTTTGATTTTTTTAAATGGAATTTTGATGCTTCAGAGACAGAGAGGAGTAATCTGGAAGCCTGCTTGACACAGATCTATCCCAGAGCCAGGTGTGTGGGTAAAGTGTAGTCACAGAAGTGTATTATAGTGAGCGGGGATTCATAAGAACATTAGGGATGGGGAGAGAAGAGTCTAAGCAAAAGAAATGAGCATAGAAATGAAGATGGGAAGGAAAAAAATTCTGCAGATTTTCTTCTAATTTTGCTGGTGATGTTTTGAGACACAAATGATCTTTTGTTTTATCTGTTATTTTCATCATAAAATTATTGCCTGTGATGACCCAAATTATAGGCCTGGACTTCTTATAGCATTTTTCTATGATATTTCGGGTGGTGTACTCTGACTGAATAATGAATATATGCACTGAGGTGGTGTGGGGTGATAGAAACAGGGTGGCTCTACTGACAGATACAACCAGATTTAAGTACTGGCTAAGTCAGATTCTGGTTGTGTGACACTAGGAAAGTTACTTAATTTAAACTTTAGTTTTCTTGCTTGTAAAATACCTAAAAATAAACATCAATTAAAGCAAATATATACAATGTAAGCAAAATGTTAAACAAAACAAAACCAAACAAAAAAAACTTTCTAACGGGTGGTGGGCAGGCAGGAGTGGGGAGGAGGAAAGGGATGTGTGTTTCCATAACGTGTACGATGCACATCACCAGGGGATTGGACATTTCGGGGGGAGAGAGGGGGCAGGAGCAATGTTTGTAACACTAACAATATTTTTACCTCCATAATATGATGAAATAAAAATCATGTTCTAATAAAATAAATAAAAAAATAAAAAAAAACTGAAAAAGAAAATCTCTATCTCAATAACAGTTGACATTAGGACACATACAAATTACCATCATTAAGACCAAATAATTGTTACTTTGAACAAGTTTGATGTTCTGGAGTTCAGGCTTACCATCCACTAAACTGCGATTGAATTGATTTACGGTACTCATAAAGACAAAGATTTATTTTCTTATACATATGACATCAATTGGTAATCTTCCCCCCAAATCTGCCATTTACTTATATAACGGTACAGACCATTCAGGGTACTGTTGGACGTATGGATTTTGAAATGGAATTTTATTTTTGCCCCATCTCCAGTGTTACACAGGAAGATAGTTAAAATTCTCTTTCAGCTTCTTAATCTGTGCCTAGTCAAGCACCTGATGCATAATAAATAATCAGTAAGTTTTGTGGAAAAAGTGCACATACACACAATGACTACTAAAATTGTTTAACAACTGAACCTTACTTTTAACTACTAAGATATGTCTATTATATCTATGCACAACATTCAGATCTGCATATCAAACAAAAATGACCATTGTATGAATATATTCTAAGAGGAAATAATGTTCCTTTCGCAGATGACCTATTTGTGAAAGAAGACCAAAAGATACTGCAGTTGCATATCAACTTCAGCTAAAGCCGAATCCAGAACTGCATGAGCCAGAACTGAGGAAAATGTCCAATGATTAAGTCATTTGAATAATGAGAAGCCTCTACAGTTCCCTGACTTTTTCCTGGTATTATTTTCTAAATGCCTTCGGTGATTATAACTTCATTTACTTACTTGTATTATCTAGGATCCTGAAGATATTAAACATATTGAAAGGAGAAAAAATAAAAGCAAGGAGATGTCTAAAACAAAGATAGAAAATCTATAACTACTTATACCTCTTTCAAGGTATCTCTTGGGCTCAAGATTTTCAGTCCCAAAGGATTGAATTTTCCTTCTCCCATTGAAGGAGATGTACCAAAGATGGTTGTGGTACATCGTCCACAGGGAGAAGCAACCCTGCATTCTCTTCTTTTATGATTTGGGAAACTTTTTCTCTGGCTAACACTCTCAGAAACCAAGTTCAGACATACAGCTACATATCCAGGTCTTTTTTCCTTGTTGGAGACTCATTCTACCACAGCCATCTCATGTTCCCATGGAGTCATCTGCAAACATAGGTTGTCAAGGCCACATGTGCAAGAAGGATTTTCTTTCTCTTTTTTAAAATTTTTTTTTCTTATTTCAGGATATTATGGGGACACAAACATTTTGGTTACATGTTATGACTTTGCCACACCCAAACCATGATTTGAGGCATGCCCTTTCCCCTCCTACAAGGCTCACCACATCCATTAGTTGTGAGTTTACCCACCCCCAACCCCCAACCCCCAAAGAATATTACTACTGTGTGAGCACCTTAGTGTTGATCAGTCAGTGCCAATTTGATGGCAAGTACATGTAGTGCCTATTCTTCCATTCTTGTGATACCTCACTTTGAGGATGGCTCAAGCTCTATCCAGGAAAATATAGGAGGCGCTTAGATAACCATCATTTTTTTATAATTGAGTAGTTATGTTTCTTAAAAGGCATCTAAAATGGATTCTTTCATGTTTTATTTCCCTTTAATTTTTAAAGTTCCTCTGCTTTCCCTTTTTTCTACTGGTCACATGGTAGGATTGGTTGACATCAGAAGGATTTAGAAATGCCATTATCTATTAGCCACTACAGAGATCCCATTCCTTTGAAAGATACTTTAATGAGAAATACAGATGGAGGAAAAAAAAGAGATAAAGACAAATTTTATGGTATTTGGAGGATTAAAAACTGATTCCATGCAGATGAAAGAGATTTGTGGAGGAAGATATTTTCTCATTAATATTTCTCAAGTAGAACCTTGCAAATATTCATGAATTTTGGATATTTTTCAAGAATTCCCTGAAAACTTTTTTCAGCTATATTAGTCGAAGTTCCCTATAAATATGATATCTATCAGCTGACCTTGATTTGTTGATCAATGCTGGGCAAGTGCCCAAATCTCATATTCAGTCATCTAGATATCTTTGTGCTCACTGGCTGAGAGATGGTATCTTGTTACATAACATAAGTGTGAGTGCTACATGAAGAGAGAAACAGAGTGCTCCTGCATTTCAAATACTTTTCATTCAAAGGTTTTGAAACTATAAATGATGACCAATTGGATAGCTTCTCATCGTTTTGGACATTAAACAAGAACAGTATTTATTTTCCCACCTATCCGTGAGAAACAAATTAAGGAAACCAAAGTATATTAAAGAAAAAGAGATTGAGGAGGGACAGGGAGGATTGAAGTGACAATAGAAATTGGCATCTTGAGCAGAGGGGAGAAAAAAAAAGAAAAAACACAGAAAAGAAAAAAAAAAGAAATTGGCATCTGAATCTGACTGTCTGGTGATGACTAGAAGAACAAGGAATAGAATCCATGGAGTAGGTTTTGCTGGTAATTATCCTTATGTTTTTAAATTTTGTGGCTCTAAAGCTCTAGTTGCCCCAACCTCTTAA